AATAAAAAAATTAAGAAAAAAAAATGGGTAACACCTCCGGGCGAGTTCCGATACTTATTTTAACGTTTGGTCGCCGATTTAAAAAGGGTCGCGCCCCCGCCGACGTTTGGTCGCTATAGCCGCCTTTTCTACACTCCCAAATTAAAGTAGAAGCTGCCGGGTGTTGAGTGGACGGGAAAGCTAGCCTGGAAGTTGCTCTCTTCTTTTTTTTCTGCCGTTTATTCTCCCTCTAGGCACTGCGGCCGACCGAGTGGAAGTCCCAGGCAAGGTTTGTTGTTGCAGACAGCTGATCAAGGCCCGTGGTCTGATACTTCTTCCGCAAATATTTTAGCGGCTTTAATGGTTGTACCCAAAGCGGTTAAAGAGAACAATTACACACTTTTGAATTCAATTTGGGAACTTTACTTTTTTTCCCACAAAAGGCACAAGCATTTGCTTTCTTGCCAGCGGAAGAAAATTTGACTTTTTTTTTTTTTTTTTTTTATTTCGACAAGTTGAACTTAACACTTCATACACTTCTGGCTTGATTGACGTTCGGAATAAAAAAGACCGAACGTACTACCGCTGGCGCGAACGAAAGCTTTTAACATAGCGTCAGTGAAAGGCGCCAATTTCTTCCTTTTGTTGACATTTGCTGCTGCTATTTCACTTTCACCTTGTACCTGTTAAAGGCTACTGTTTAACTTGACCAACAGATGGCGAGTCGTTAAATTTTAAAAATAATTAAATTTAACGTACAGGCTACAAGTCACGCTACAAGCGCTGCAGCATTTCGTGTGCTAATTTTGTTGGCCAACAACAATAACAATAAAAAAAACGTTATGACCAGCATGTCTGCTGTGTTTGTGTGTGTATTTTAAATGCATATTATACAATTTTTACATGAGTTATTTCACGCCTGAAATGTTCGTGTTTGAGTGTTGTTTTAAATTTTCAAAGCATTTTATTTGTGCCTCGCTTAGACAAACAGATATATAGACGGGCATAGCTTTGGCCGCAGTTTTGTGGCTTTCGTGCTAAATCAATTATTTAACAGCAACATGTGCAGCATTCAAATCTGTGCAATGCTAGCTCTATTTACACATTAATGTACGAGTATGTTTCGTAGTTTTAATGTTTTTACTGTTTCGTGAATTTAGTCTAAACAGCTCCACCACAGGCAAAGCAACCCAATTAAATATTTACAAACAATTTTGCTCCTACAATATTTTGTAGCTGCCAGTGCCGAAGTGTATTTACAAAAATCTAACCGGATAAGAAAGACAAGAGTAAATAAAATATAAATGTACAGCCAGTTAGAACTGACTTTAAGTTCAAGAAGGTCGAATTCTAAGCACCTACAGTTGACTTTAAAAGCGTAAGTTGGTTCTTTAATAAAAACTTAGGGCCTTTTCCTAGCAGATAACTTTAAAACTAAAGATTTTTTAACGATCCTGGGCGTATTAGCCAGTTGTCGCTTTACTAGGGCTGACGGCCTGCAATAAACCAGTTACTGGCAGTCAGTAATGAAAGAAAGCGTATTGTCAGCGAATATAAGTCAGGTTAAGTCTGCATAAGTGCATACACGAGATATTTATGTATGTATACATGTAGGTAAAGCGGCAGGAAAGCCGGGCATGAATTATAAAATTCCCATGTAGAATGCATTCACACAAAGAGAGAAAGCACACACTAACATATGAGTATACTTGTATGTAGTATATTTGAAGCGGCGACAGTAACAAAAGAGCTGCAAATTAAAAAGAGACAAGCAATTAAAATGGCTTACAACGCTGTGCGTCCTGACGACTTACAACGATGGTAACAGCTGTAAGTGTAATTGTTGCTCCTGCTCGGGCATAATTGCCAACAGGATGCGACGCACGCGACCACTTCCGCATGCCCTGCGGCTGTTGCCGGCTGATGCTTTCATAACGTTGGCGCATTATACGTTCAAAATAAATGGCAACCCCTTTCTTTGCCCAGAAATTAAGTGTAGTGCAAACAACAAAAGCCTCTGACCTGACCTGTCATGCCTTCACCCGCCTCAGCTCCTTCCTTCGCATCAGTTGGTGAGGCTGTTGATGCGTAAGTTGTCAACCACTGCTGCTGGCCATCGTTGATCCTGCTTAAAATTATTCGCATTGTGCTCGCCTTGCCGTGCCTTGACTTGCATCGCCTCGCCTCGCCTCGTCTCGCCTCACCAATAGGGAAGGGTAGACTTTGCATAATGCGCATACGCCGCGTAAGCAAGTCAGCAACATCAAGTGTGACTTCCGGCTGAAGCGCTGATGAGCACTGTGACAACAAGAACGGTAACAACAGCAACAGCAATTGTAACAATTGGATCTCTGAAAAGGGAGGGGGGGACAGGGACCACTAAAGTGATGGTGGACATAAAGGTCGGCAGAAAAAGGCGCCAGCCATAATAAAATACATGCAATATGATGTTGCCAACATGGAGGTGCAGGCGTAAAATACAATGTAAATTCCACAGTGTTTTCCTGCTGTGAATGCTGCAGTTGCAGCTGCTGCCGCTGGCACTTCTGCTGCTGGTACAACAATTTCATATGCACACAGAATCACAATAATGGCATACAATTTAACAGAATTGCATATCGGAAGGAAATCTCAGTGCCCGCAATCTGTGCGCCTTCCACTGAGCCCCCACGTAGCAAGTGCGGTGCATTCCCTTACATATAGATGGATGGATATTTATGTACGTACGTATATGGAGGTGCTTAAAATGGGTCACTTGGACCGCAACTTGTGCAGAGATGCAGGAAAATTGCTAACTAATTGCTTCGACTATTAAACGGCTTATTGGTCATCCGGTGCTTGCGTTCTCCTGCATATATTAGAGAAGCTATCAGCAATGTTTTCGTCTTCACAATATACTATAAATGCGAATGAGTGAGAAGCAATTGCGAGCTAAAGAAAACAAATTTGAAAAATAATTAAGGATGAAATTCTGGATACATTTTTTCGTTCGTCTTCGCACTTCTTTTAAAATTGACCATACTTCTTTACTGCCAGAACCAATCATCTGGTTAGTCAAGAGAAAATAAATAAGAAGACATTATAATTTAAAAATTGCAAATTCATCAACTGATGTTATGAAATCTGCTTTATTCCATTCAGAATATCATCAGGGTAACAGCATCTGGGCCAGCTTTCCATACCTTTGTATGCTCATTCTACAATTATTTCCTTTCTGCTACATTTGCGACAGCGTGCAGAAGGTGTGCACCCAACTAGGCGATGATATATGGATAATACTGATACTAAAAACTATAAAAAGTTCTGATTTTCTTGTTGTTCAACATATTTCCTACACAAATGTTGTAAGTAAATCTTAGTTGAAGGAAAATGTAAAGTCTTACGGCAAAATCATGCCTTACTTCCCTTTATTATTAATGGGCATATGCTACTGACTCTCTATGTTATACACTTTGGATCGAGAAGGATTGGAATAACCATCAGTAGTTCTTTATTTTACTGCGTCAATAACTAACCTACTTGTGTCCGGCATCCTATGCGGCGGGAATTCAATAACAAGTATGAGCATGAGCTCAAAAATCGTCTTATTCCTCTAATCATTAGTTGTGTGTTAGCATTAATGGACTGAAGACAGAAATGAAATGTAAAATTGTGTCAAATGTAATGAAATGAACGTAAAACACTCTAACGATGGTACCCAGTGGCCTAGACAAGCCCAACTTTGGCAGGAACAGCAAAACTATCTTTATGTCGAGCTGCACACTTGTCGTTAATGTGAGCCCAGACATGACAGCCTGCCAGTCGAAGGTCAGCCTTCGAAGCGTCCTACCAGAGAGTTTTTCCAGGCCTTGTCACGCCTCGTCACTCGTTTACTTAAGCGCCATTGACAGCGATTTCCACTCGCCTTTTCCTTGCAGCCTCCACCTCATTCTATCTCTTTTAGAAAATGTGCACCGTTACGTGTTAGACACTAGCATCTCTAATGGTCGCCACTTTGATTGCAGCGCGCCAATTAGCGTAATATTCGCAATATGCTTTTTTGTCAAACATCTGCTGCTTTGCTCTCCTCTATTATTCTTTTTAAATTTCGTTTTCACAGTTTTCGCACGCCGTTCATGGGGCGCATTATTATATCTCCTTCTCCAACTGTGCCCTATCTCGAGGATGTTGCCTCATTGGTTGTGTCGAGCCAAAGTGCCAGTTCCTAGCAGCAGCCTGTTTTAATTGCTCTTCGCTCTGCGCTTTGTCCTTAGTTGAAAACTTCCCATTTTGCTGGACACTTTCCTTTTATGTGGCCCGTATTGTGTGCAATACAATTAACTTTAAAGCCTCCTCCTCTTCTTTTGCTTTAAGATAGCGTCTTTCTGTTGAAGCATCTTTCACTTATTTCAATGAAAGTTAAGCCTTGTTATTCATATAAGTGCATACATACATATGTATGTACATGCTTTATATTTATGTATATTTGTCAGGCAACAATTTAACAGATGAGAATGGCATACATACAAACATACAAATGGAAATGCAAACTGGAGCACAAAATCCACTGCACTTCCATTTTGCCTCTTGTTGTAAGCATTATATAGCGAACTTGTGGCATCAAATAAATTACGTACATACGTGCTACTAGTACTTATTTTAATAGTGCACACACAACTGAACTAATTCCAAATGCCTTTGAAGTGGATGGCCTACCCGTGATAATTTTACGCACGGCTGCCGCCATGATAGCTATAAAAAAAAAAATATGGCCGCTATTCATTCACAAAACTCAGTTCAAGTGCTGCACACGGTTTTCTATTGATTTCTAGATATGAAAATATAAACAAATGGTGATTAGAAATATCCCACACGTATAGGCATAGGGCATTAATGGAAGCATTTGGTATATCACTTATCAGCCACAAGGTAGTTGCAACACCAGATAGGAAAACGAGACATTCGTGTTCAAAGTGAAAACAATGATAAGCCGCAATGGGTAAAATATTGAAATATAAGGCCGTTTAGTGAAACACACAGTCTTGCAGGCATATAACAATTTACCAGAAGTTATCAATACAAAAAAGTCGCTTATTTTAAATTTAAAGTCTAGTCTACACAAATCACATTCCATGCGCTCTACTCTTCATCCTTTATGCAGTTCTCTACTAGCTCTCTTAAGTTGGGATTTTCCATGGCAGCTGCAATCCGTTCTTTGTCATTGATTTGTTTGTTAACTGCAAAGTTTAGAAATTGTTTAAATAGATAATTGCATTTTAAATGCGCCCACTTACTCTCCTCCTCTGTTTGATGTGCACCTTTTTTTATGTAAATATCTAACTTGATATTGTGGGGCAGTCCACGCTCGACTTTGATACGTATACAAAGGCCAATTAATGTTGCCAACGAGCAATGTGGAACTGTTGGATTGAATTCAATGCGAACCTGCAATTGCAAATATAGAGGGAAAACATCGTTACATATGCAAATTGGCAAAAAAAAAATATTTTGTATCTTACCACAGACACATTTGATCGAGTTGGGGGCATCACAAAGATACCTTCCTCCCAAACTACATTCAAATCCTCCAGCGTACATGGCTTCTCCGGATCGCGTATGCTGCGCAAGAGATCTGAACAACGATTGATAACAATTGGGACTTAGCTAATTATATAATTTACAATGTAAGAACTCTAAAATCACCATAAATCGTCTCCTGCAGGTCTGTTGCGTTCCGATATCCCAGCTCGTGAAGAAGCGCATCCTCACCAACGGGAACAACTTCGTTATTGAGCGACATTTGACTTGTCTTGCGCAAAATATCTTCGGTGTTTACTTTGCTACTATTTTGGCCGCTAATGCACGCGCTTGCTTTCACGCTCGTACTGCCGTTGGCGCTCGCGTTAGCGTTCGCGCCACTGGCGTCCGATTCAGAGAGTTTTCGTTTGATATAAGACAGCATATTGAATGCTATGTACAATGTACGTGTATTGTCTGATTTACACTCTTATCTGTGCAAGTTTTTTATCAATAGTTGTTGTTATTGTGGCTGCAGCAAGCATATCTTGCAGACGTTCTGAGTGCGCTTCTGTTGCTGCAAAATATTTCCAACAATATCCACAGTTTCCTGTAATATGCGCTTACTTTTAAATTTAAAACTATTTCCAAATTTTTTACCAACTCAGAGGAACGAAGACAGCTGACTTTGTTTTGTTTTTTGCCAAAAGTGCTACCAATTTACTGCCACATAGATAAAATCTTCTTTTTTCGTACATCTGGCAGCACTACTAAGCTGACCAGAAAACGGTGGATATATAAATTACATACAATTACTTTTTAATATTTTTTGAAGATAATCTACTAATGTACTTCACGATAATAAGAATGTTTGTCCTTCATCTGTGAACACCAGAAAGTACTGTACAATATCGCAATATCATTGCTGCGTAGCTGGTAACCCTGCTAAGCCTTATCAGTGCTGTCTCTTATGCGTGCTGTGCAAATTTAGAAAAAAATATTGCAATTTTAGACCAGTCTAAACATATAGTGCCGGTTTCCATATCTCACCAATTGTATATAATTTATATGTGAATTTAAAAAAATATCTTCTAGTACAATATTAAGGAAACAAGAGTGATAAAGTGGCCGAAGAACAAGTGCTAAATATAATTAACCTAAATTATCGTACGCAACAGCAACAAAGACTGCAGACCGCAAGTGACAAGTGCAGCTCCACAAATATTGTGCGGGCGCGAAGAAGAATCATAAATTGTAAACAGCTTAGCAGCACAATTTGCAAAATAAATTTAGTTGTTGAGTCAGCTATTTGGCCCATTGTACTTAACAGAATATTTTCAAATTCAGAGCCTACTACAAATGAAATTTGACCAAATTTGACATACCCTGGTTTCAAATAATATTTTAGTCATTTCGTTTTGGTTAGTCGTACGAATTGTTTCTTATTTGTGAAAGCTCGTCGAACGGAAAACCGCTTTACCCTTTTGAAAAATAAAGGAAAAAGTTCGTAAAAAGCGAGAGAGCCTATCGAGTTAAAACACGAAGTGCAAAGGTAAGAGTACATTAGCGGTGATCCCTTAAAGTGTGTGTTATGTGTTGGTGTGGTAAAAGAAAAAGTTGAGAGGCCAAGTGAAAAAAATATGGCTGCAAAGTCCTGGAAAAGTGCCGTTTCATGTAATTACAGCTCAAGCTACCGCGTCATCTTTGAAAATTCCGCATCCCACATTCGGTTGCCAGTGTTCGTTTAGCGCGGATTGTAAAAAATTTTGCGCTCTAAATTCTCGTCATCGAGAAAAAATTTGACAGTTAGTCACAAAGAAAAAAAATCACTGCCATTTTGCAGAACTCGATTTTAAAATTTTCTTTTTATTTGTGTTGCAAAGTAAGGAGTGAGCAGAATTGCATTTTCAATTTTTTATTTATCACAAATCTAGAGATGTACATACATACATACATACATACATACATACATTGTCCTAACCCATTTTTGTACTTTCATCGAACAGTTCGTATACTAAAATGGTTGCCGATAATATTGCCATTGCGGCTGCTGATCAGTCCTCATCTGCTGTGGGTGTAAAGGAGCAGCTGCCAAATGGCAATTACATTTTGGTTGGTGTTGATATAGATACCACTGGACGCCGTCTTATTGATGAGGTACGTATGCACGCGTGTGTGTGTGTGTTTGTGTGGAATAACGGTACATATTCCACTGAGGTCAGCGACCTGTAGCGCTTGTTCTTGAGCATAGAGATAGATACTTGGCTCAATCCTAACCTAACTTTCTTTTTCGATATATGTATGTATTTTTTATACACTGACAGATTGTCCAGTTGGCCGCTTATACTCCAACTGACCATTTTGAGCAATACATTATGCCGTATATGAATCTCAACCCTGCCGCACGCCAGCGTCATCAGGTTCGTGTTATTTCGATTGGTTTTTATCGTATGCTGAAGTCGATGCAGACCTACAAGGTAAGCCCCACCGTCACACCCACTGAATGGATAACAGAACCGAATTTATTGATTTTTGCAGATCATTAAATCAAAATCGGAAATCGCTGCACTCAAAGACTTCCTTGACTGGCTTGAGCAGCTTAAATCGAAGAATGCCAACTCGGATGGCATTGTCTTGGTCTACCACGAGGAGCGCAAATTCATACCCTATATGATTTTGGAGTCGCTCAAGAAATATAGCCTGCTGGACAGGTTTACTAAGACCGTCAAATCGTTTGCAAATGGCCTCAACTTGGCCAAATCGTCTATAAGCGATACCAAACGCTACACTCTACGCAAGTTGTCCAAGATCTTGTCGAAGACCAACGATGATGACAACAAATCGGAAAATATCGCCGACAGCAACAACAATGCCGCTGTTAATGTAACCAATGAGAAGCGTTTGAAGAATGGCATCCAGTTTGAACGCGAGGAGTTCGATGGCAATGCCAGTGTGCGTGCCAAACTGGCCTTTAATGTGGCTCTGCAGCTGAGCAATGGAATGGAGCGTAAGGCTCAGCCGGAGTCTTCAGAGGTATTGGAGAATCTCTTCAATGCCCTGAAGCCGTTTGCCAAGCCGATTGGCTGTGATATTCGCGAATTGGATACACAGAACGAGAATTTGGAGCGTCAGAACTCCTTCCGTCCAGTGTTCTTGAACTATTTCAAGACCACCCTATACCACCGTGTGCGTGCTGTGAAATTCCGCATTGTGCTGGCTGAGCAAGGCTTCGATTTGACCACCTTGAGTGCCATCTGGTCCGAGAAACATAAGGAAGGAATAACAGAGGCTCTCCAGGCCATATCTAATCTAAAGAGTGAGGATAAAACCGAACTAATTGAACTTTTGGATAGCTACTTTGATCCAAACAAAACAACCATCAAACCTGTTGTTAAAACTAACAACAACCGCCGTCGCAATAGGCGCGGAAATTTATCCTCTCAGAAAAATGGAGCCGGTGCTAGCAGCTCCCGTTCCGCTAGTGCCGGTGCTGGTGGTGATAAATCGCAAAGTGTGCTGTCCGTGCCAGACTCCACTATTAAGACGCCATCGCCGTCGTCAAAAAGTGTTAACGGAAACTCTAGTCGTCCACAGCGTAAGCGTAACTCGCGCAACAGCTTGAATACCAACGGACTGAAGCCCGAGACTCCGCTGAACAAGTCAGCTCCACCGACCCCGTCCGTAGCACCGGCTACCGTCGTCACTAATATACCCATTGCAGCCTCCAACTAAAGTGCCTGGACGAAGCTGCGACCATAAACAAGTAAATTCTTTTGCACTACAGTTTACCCTAGTAGAGCTTTAGAGTTATTTATTGGCTTCTTGAACACGCTATTTTAATTTAATTTGTATTATAAATTAAATTGTAGCTTTTAGTTAATGTACTAGCTAAACTAGCTAGTAAGGCACATGTATGTAGTTGTTGTAGTTTATATTTATAAGTTCCATGCGCTTACAAATCTGGTGATAATAGATATTGAAGCTGAAATGAATTTTAAGGTTCGGAGGCGCATGGGCAATTGTTAATTATTTTTTTAAAAAAAAGCTTACTGTATTGTATTTCTTTGGAATTTTTAAAAACACATACATATAATTAACATGTTTATAATCTTTTAAAACGCTGCGGTTTTAGATTTTCAAGAAAATGAACATACTTCAAATATACACAAGTTATAATACACAAATCAAGAAATGAAAAATATCAAGTGCACTGCTGCTTTTCAATCAAGAAACTAAATATACGAACTTTTTCTGAAGAACTGCACAGATTAGAAACAAGATCCCAAATTCAAGTATTTACAAAATTTCCCGTCGTAATTTGCAACATGTCGTCGGTACCTATCTATCATATGTATGTACGGGCATGAATATGAACAAGTTAGTGAATGGATTAAATTGACATTCGTGATCGGCAACAATGTTTCATGTACACAGGATTACATATTTAAGCTCCAATTCAGTTGAAAACGGGAAAAATAATCGAGATGATATAAAGATATGATGGTAAAACGAAAAAACGCGCTTAGACTCATGCGGTTGAGCTGATTTTTAAGAACGGCAACCTAACTAAACTTTCATGGATCTAAATTGCACACGAATTGAATGCAATAGGAAATAAAAATATTGCACTCTTTACCATTATGTGAAAACCGACTAACATAGAAGAAAGCATAAAAAGCTTGAAAACTAAAAAGAAGTTTGAAGACATCATTATGTCACTAGATAGGTGACGTATATAAATAGCATTCGATAAATTCGTTGCGTTTAGGCATAGTTTTCCAAAAGAATGATGCAGTGCACGGTCGTCGTTTAAAATACAAAAACGAGTGGAAAAATATGACCCATACAAACGCCTCGATGAACTAGTACATTGGGTAGACGTAAGCAACACACATTCATTTAAAAACGAATTAGATATTAGATTGCCCAATGTGAACAAATTCACATTGAAGCTTAAACAGAATTATTTAAATAAATATACAAGCTCAAAACGTAATTTCGCACAAAAACACGCGAAGAGAGGAGAAACTACAACATTTCAAGCGATATTTCACTAAACATTACAATTGTTTCATGTTTGCACATAAGTTTTTATCAATTTATTCGATATTGTAATAAAAAATCGTAATAAATAAATATATGTATGTGAACAATAAAAATTAGTATTTGAATTCAAATTTGCGCGCAATTGCGGTGCCCATACGTAAAAGCTAAAACAAACAAAAAAAAAAAACAACTACGTGGCCACTCTTGCCCATGCACTATCGATTTTTGTCTAAAAGCAAACGATAGCGATAGCACAGCTGGGTTCATTTTGTCAGCCCCTCCAGAAAAAATAAAAAATAACACCCGATCTGCCCATTGCAGGGAACAAAACAATTTGCAAACATTAAGTTATAGACAGTGTCGTTTGATTTTCATGAAACGCGTGAACGACACATCTCCTGCTCTACATACCAGCTATGGATATCGATATGGATGTGGACGGCGAGCCGAATGCGCACACGGAACTTTACGACGATGGCCTTGACTTGGGGTTTAACATGGCGCATGCGATCCTTTTTGAGCTGGCCGAGGAGCTGCGCGAGAAGTTCGCTAGTGATGGGAACTTAAAGTTCTCGCAGCTAAATACAATTTATTTGTCTGCTCGTAATAGTCAAATGAAGCGCTTCGTCGCCGCCTTAAATGGCGTAAAAAGAAAGGAGATTCAGAATTATTTGGTCAACACGGTATGTACCAGCATGGAAAATTGTTAACACATACACCCACACATTTGTATATATGTATGTATGTTGTGTTTATGTATTTCGCATAATGAGCATGCGAGTCGGCGTGCGCAGCTTTTTCGCTCTTATTTACTACTGCGTCATTAAAGAAAAGTTTTGCTTATTCATCGCACATACATACATATGTATATGTATGTACATATGTATATGTATGTGTGCATATGTATGTTGTTTGGAAATTGTGCTCCCATTATACGGAGCGTATTTCACCATGATTTTTTATTGATATTCAATTGCGTATTTTCCGAGTTCTTTCTAAGATTCAACCGCTTTTCTTTGTTTATCGCCTGCATCTTGTGAGTCTCAAGCGAGGTGTCCCCACCTCGTATCAACAGAACAACAAATTTTATGTACATACTTATGCATATACACATACATATATATACATACATATGTACATATGCACATATGCAAGGGCGTACGCAGCTTTTACAAAAGGGGCCCCAAAAATTAATTTTATTTTTTGATTAAGTAATGCACGATGCATTTAAAAAATAATTTATGCATATGATCAATGAAAGAACTTCAACAAATCCAACTCAGTTAAATTTTAAGGCGAAATAGTGCGTCATAATAATGAACGTGTGGTCGACTTTTATGGCAACATTAATTGTAGTTGGGGTAACGGCCCCGCCCCCCTCTGCGTACGCCCTTGTACATATGCATTTGATTTGTTTATAAAACATGTGTCTACACATACAAATTTGCGAATGCTTGCCAAGTAATTGCTTGGCGAAGTAATTGTTAATTTGCGAAAAATGCCGTCAATTAATGGGCAAGTGATAGTGATACATAAATATGGATACAAACCTACACATGTACATACATATATACTTTTTCGTCTATGTATGGGCATTTAATGTTAATATACATACATACATATATGCATTTACAAATCTTTATTTAAAGCATGCGCGTCACTTTCACATTTAATTTGAAAATGTTGCGCGCAAATTAATTTACCTACTACATACATACTACCATACATATATGGAATATTCGCGGCCCATCTTTATCTAATTACTCATAGCACAGCTCTGGACAAGTTGACAACCCATTGGCGCCGTGCCAAAGCATTTACAGTTCCTGAATTGAGTTTTTACTATAATGTTTGTTTTCGGTAAAATACTAAATGATGTGTGAACATTGAACTAAAGCGCGCAACCTAAAAAAATATCCATTTGACTAAATTTAATTGCCGATTAAAGAAAGTGTTTTGAGTTTCTTGTTAGTCTCTGAAGATGTATATATGAAATGCATATGCGCCTATAGAAAAACCTGGATATGCAGGCACATGAAACCTGCACGATTCTTCAATGGAATGTAATATAAAACAATTAAAATGAACAGCTGCCAATTGTAAACAAACCCCAATTATGCGTCACTCTCTCTCGCATTCTCTCCATTCCGGCATCAGCTGGCCATCGAGCTACGCGTGCATTTGCGCACTCTCCCTTGTCCTTTTTCAACCCCCATGACTGGCCACCCCTATCATATGCAAACTTAAGGGTGTTATGCAGACTGGGCGAAGGATACCATGTTAGTCATGTTCGTTGTTGCCCTCATGAGACGAAGTTTTATTGAGTTTTTGAGCTCTTGCTTGTAGTCAGGACCTTTTGACAGCTGCGCCTTTCAGTGTAGTTTCAATTTTCCACGAGGATAACATGAACGCGGAATTGTATCGGTAAAGCACAGCTTAACGTAACCTTAAATCGTTGCTTCTGATTGTTTACTGACAATCCTTTTTTGTAGCACACGCAAACGCTGGTACGAGTCCGCATGGCCAGGCGCTAATTTCTGGCGTGGTGCTAAAGACACGCTGCCTATTGCAAGCTATATAACTTATCCGGCGGTGAGTCTGTTGCCATATGTTATGAACAGTTTACTACTCAGACAGCAGTTGCTTGACCTAGAGTCTATTTTGGTCAGAATCGCATTTCCCTCGTGCAAAACGCAATAACAGCTCAGTTCAGCAAAATTGTTTCCCATTGCGAATTCTGAATATGAATGTGCGCCTCTCGCCCCGGCAATGGTGCCTGGATCTAAATGATGTATATGAATATTCTATATCTACATATTTTAATGAATGTTTGTGTGTGTAAGCGTGGACAATTTGTAATATTTACATGTGCCGTGCCAAAAACCAAATCGCACATGGGACAACGTAGCACGAACAAAGAAATTCGCCCCCGCTGTTTCGCTTTTTATTAGTACCCTGGTAAAAATAAATGTATGTACATATGTATATATTTATACGTACATATATAAGTGAATAGTGCAAATCGTGTGAATATTACTCGGATTTGATAAATTATATATTTCTAAACGCCTCCTGTCGTGAAAATTATTGAACCAACTAACCAAGAAGACAATTAATAAATATGAATTGTTTAGTCGACATTAAAACCAGTTTGAAAGAATAAGACCCTTAAATGCCTTAAATGACGTTTTAAACAATTTCAACTGTATTTTTTAATTTGCGATCCAGCGCATGAATTTGATGTTTCCGAAGATTTATGCTGCAAATTCATTTTTGACCGCCAACATCTCTGTACATGTGAAACTTTTATTTTCGGCTACACGCGCCTTGACTTTGGCCTCATTTTTAATATAAATACACTGCCTCTAAAAGTGCGTGAAAACCTGTCATATCTTTGCAGAGATTCGATGAGCCCGATGGCCAATCACTCACGCCTCTTACGATGGCCGCCATGTCCGGTAATGTTACGTTTGTGAAGACGCTTCTGTCTCACTACGACATAGATCTCGAACGGGAATGTAATGTCATATTCGATGGTCTGGTGGTTTACGGTGCCACGCCCCTGTGGGTCGCAGCTGGCATGGGTCATCTACAAATTGTGAAGCTGCTGGTACAAGCCAAAGCCAACGTCAATCACAATACCAAGGCGCAAAGTTCTCCGCTGCGTGCGGCCTGCTATGAAGGTATACTATTCTTTGTTGGACACTTTCCTACATAACTTATTTTATTTTGATTCGTAGGTCGTCTGGATATTGTGCGTTACCTAATTGAGCACGGAGCTGAAGTGAATGCCACCAATGCTTTCAACAACACCTGTATAATGATTGCTGCTTATAAGGGACACGAGTTGGTCGTGGACACGCTTCTCAAGAACGGGGCGCGCACCAACGGTCAGGCGTTGTGTGGTGCCACTGCATTGCACTATGCTGCCGAAAGTGGACATCTAGATGTAGTACGTCTACTTTTAGATCATGGTGCAACATTGCACAAGAATGAGCTGGGCATAACGCCAGCGCTGCAGGCAGCCGAGCGTTTGCATGAGGAGGTTCTGGAGGAATTCCTTCAGCGTCCTGGACTAATGAGTCTCGAGGAGCAAATCACGGCAATGGAGCTGCTAGGTGCCACATATGCCAATGACAAGCTCAAGTACGATGTTAATCGGGCATACAGCTATCTAATGCGGGCCATGCAGCTGCGTTATGAGAATCCGCAAAATATTGTGCGCAAGCGAGTTTTGCAGCCCATACCCGCCTACGATAGTTGGTTTGAGACTGAAAATTTGCCAGAACTGAATGCTATCAAGTTGAATCACCACTCTATACACATGGAGTCGTTGACTATACGCGAACGCATACTGGGCAGACAAAATCCGGAACTGCCACAAGCGATTATTTATCGTGGTGCCGTCATGGCTGATCAGGGACGTTACGAACAGTGTCAAGTGCTATGGAACTATGCTATCGATTTGCGCATGCGCAATAATGTGAGTCTTATTCCATTCTAAGCCTTATACTTTTTATTGTATAGGACTTCTTGATTTCCCAAACGAAGAAACAGTAACGGGATCAGATTTCAGATTTCTTTTTTTTTAACTCTAATAATTCTAACTTACAAACCATAACAATTTAACTCTATTGTTGCATATCCACCTATGAACCTGCGCTAAAAAATATGCATTTAGGCGTGGAGTTTCCCCAATAAGCAAAAAAAATGCCTTCTATATTTTTATTTATTCTTGCAGCTGTCCGTTGAACGTGATTTATTAAGATTTGCTCAGCTCTTTGCGCAAATATTGCGTGTAGCCAATCACCGCTTGACCCTGGATCATGTTGTTCCAGTTCTCGCCAAGTGCCAACATGAGATCGAACTGAATAAATGTAAAATGTTGAATGCCAAACCAAACTCCTGTGCCAGCATGCTGCAGGTGAGTTGACCAAATGAAAGGACCTCCACTAATATTAATCATATACCCTTTTTGTGTTTCAGGACCAAAATAATCAGAACTGCATTACAGCATTGTATTTAATCAAAATTGTCACACAATTAGCTCGCCGCAGGAAAGATCAGGACATCAACGAGGAGCAAATTCAGCAGCTGTTCCTTGTAGTAAGAAAGTTTATCCAAAACGATACACGGTTGCAGGATGGCCAAACTTTGCTGCATCTAGCTGTAAATGGCGTGACCCCTGTGGATGAGTTCTACACCAATGAGATGTGCAGGTGCGTCACCGCCCTACTGCTACTACACTCAGAAATGAGGCAATATATCTAAATGTCAAGCTAACAATTAACGACCTGTATTAGATTCCCTTGCTATGCCACTGCTCTGGTGCTTGTGCACTGCGGCGCCTCTGTCCTTGCCGTCGATGCTTCGCGCAACACACCGCTACACATTTTAGTTACTAGGGTGAATGGCACACAGGAGCGGCACACGGAAATGGCACGTATTGTGCAACTATTTGTTGAGGCGGGCGCACATTTGGATGCCGTAAATGCTGCAGGTCAAACAGCAGCGGCAGCATGCAAGCAAAGTAAGTGGATGATATTATAAGTAATGATTGGCTTACTTACGTTATTAAATATATTTAAGGCACACTGGCTAATGTACTGCATGGATACCAGAATGCTCACTCCACGCTGAAATGTCTCGCGGCCCGCATTATAGCCACCCACAGGCTGAACTTTAAGGGAACAATACCAACCGCATTGGAGGGGTTCATTCAAATGCACAGCGTAGATAATTTATCAAAAATGTAAAAAACCTCAGAGCTTCGGCATGCCGACGTCTGCATACCCTTGCAAACCTCATTTACCGAACGGTTTGGTATATCAAATAGGGGAAAGATCTACATAACCAATATCCTTTCCAAAGCTTAGCAGCTATTTGATCTAGTCAACTACCTTGAATCGTCAACCCTGTACCGAAGGTGAAAAGGGTAATGCCCCAGATAGGTGTAACAGTTTACACTTGGATCTGGCAAAATAATATTTTTAGAAACCAGCCTTTATTTCACGTTCTTTGAATTTCGCAACACTTTAACAGACGTTGCCAAGAAAATGAACAAATGAAAATTGTAGAAAAATAAATTAATAAAAATGTTCGTTTGTGGAGAACTCTTTGCAAGGGTATAACATGCCAGAAACACTAAAACATATTTTTATATCGAATTTAGTGACTTAATTAGCAAATTGCCAACATTTTATTTTTCTATTACTTATTTATGTATGTATGTATTGTGTTATCGTTTTCAGTAAGCATAATTTATTTATATATACATTTTAAACACTTCTGACTGATGTTTATTGTAATCATATATAAAATCATTTTGTACATTTTCTATATGCGAGTGTGTGTAATTAATCGATCTTCAAAAAGTGAATAGTGTTTGATTAGAAAAAGAAATTAATCAAGAAATCATCAATATCAACATTTTTTTTTTTTTTTGTGTTATATTGTACGAAGAATTGTTGAAGTTATTTCCTTCTACATTAATTGAAAAAGTACGCGTTGTAAGAATCACAGTTCACAAATGAAACTATTTACAATTTAGTATTACTAATCTTAGAAGATACTTCTTCTTAGCTCAAATGTTCATATCGCTTATCTTACGATTGTTGGACCGCACCTGCGGATACACCTGAGGCTGTCGCATTACTTCCTCGTAGGAAGGTGGCGGCGCTGTAACACCAATTTCATTTTATTATCAACCTTCCAGTGTAAGAATTGCCACATTTGATCTTACCGTTTATCACATAGTCCTCGTCGTTGGTATATGCAGGATTAACTACCGCATCTGTAGGGTAGGTTGTCTCAATGGTGCGCTGGTCCAGGGTCGAGCGTTGTGATCGATGCGAATGGCGCTGCAAATTGGCAGTGTTCCGATGAAAACCATTAATAAAGCGCTCCTCCTGTTCAAGATCCTCGCTTGGCAATTGTATTACATGTACCGAGGGTCGACGATCTGCCCCACAAAGGATGTTTACATGACTACTCCTTAAAGTCTTCTACACAACTCACCAGTTTCGGCAATGGCGTCGGTATAATTGTCGCCGAAGGCAAATGGCGCCGCTAGAGATTTCTTGCATTTCAAAAACAGTACGATCAGTATCCAGCCCAGTATAAGAACCAGATAGACAAAGCCCAGCATGCTCATGTATAGGCCGTCGATGTCTCTTATCGCCGGTCGAGGGGCCTACATGTACATATGCGCTGCAGCTGCTGGGAGCCACATAAAAGTTGCTTCAAATACTCGATAATCGTATCCACTCGACACTTTTAGCAAATTCCAGCAACCAAAGCACACCCACACATACACCTTTATGTTTGCGGATATCAAAAATCGATAAATGTTAGCACGTCGCGTGGAATGGCGGCGGAACTGTGGTCATTGTTGTCGCATGGCTTAGCACTACATACGAACTAAACTGAACGCCTCCGGCATTCGCCTGGCTAGACCCAGTAAGGCTCTCGAGCACACTGAAAACTATTCAGAAATCTAAATGGATTTATAATTTTTATACCCGTATAGGGTAAAAGAGTATAATATATATATATTTTTTTAATATTTTATTATGAAATGTCTTGCAGATTTAGGCTATAACATGTCAAACTGAGAGTAAAACTCCTGATCGATATTATTAGGTAAATGGTTAAATTGTAAGATCTGCTATAAATGGATAGTCGTTCGATGTGCAGAAATACGAAATGCATTAAGATTTTTATCAAAAGTACAAAAATTTTTGTGTATATTTAAATTCAAGATTACAATTTGTATATGGGTATCAATAATTCCCATAACTAAATCTTAAGCGAAATCTAAATCTAAATCGTAGTATTTGTAAATAAAGTTCAGCTCGTTAAAAAATGACACTATAATTCCATGATTTTTAATAAAAGTTTACAAATACCATCTATTAATGGCCCTTTTCTCTAAGTGCATACTCAACCCTGTGCGCGTTGGCGTTTGTTAAATGCGAGGACATCGCAGTTGTTGTCGCTGCTGCTATGGCTATGGCCACATATCATCGATGACCACAACAGAACATAGTCCGCGGGCAGTGGGCACTGGACGTAACTAAGGGGAGTACGTACGTCCAATAATGTGCTGGCTGTTACTTTGATTTCATGATGGGCTGCGTAGTTTAGTTCAGCATTAAAAATTAAATGCAAGTCAATACGTTTTTTTATTGAAATAGAATTTCATATAAACATCTTAGGGGCTTGAAGACATGAGTGTTGGTGCTAACGTGCCTGTTACGCTAATTTAATGTCATAGGGGTAGTTGTGTGTGTGTGGGTGCGGGAATCCTTTGTGGGCTTATGAGCTCATTTCTCGTATAATTGACTAATTTGGCAGTAAGTCAACGCAACTTGCGTGAATTACCTGTGCGAGTGTGGACGTAAAAGCCATTCTAATGGATGTCAGCAACTTTGTGACGTCACTTACAGAAGGTTAGCGCCCATAAGTGTCCACTTATCATTACGGGCCCAGCACCAGTTAATATTCCGCTGCACATCAGTGGAGGGCACATGGATTCGCTTAAACTTAACCCTTTAGGGGCTACCCTAATTTTTAAAAGAATAAACAACTGTTTCTTTTATATGCCTTTTTATTTTGTTTGCCTTATAGTGATACTTTTGTGCTACGGAATTGGTTAATAATTTATTAAAGTCTTAAGCTAATTTCATGACTTAAAGCATTTATTCCTAAAACCTAATGTTAAGAGAAGTGAAAGGTCAAGGCAAGGGCCAAGTAACGTTCACAATTGCTGTGTCCATCGTACATCATTGATCTGTTTCGATAATAATTAACGACAATATAGGCCCTCTTCAAAATGGAAACACATTCCTTAGCAATCGCTATATCCTTACAATTTTACATTCGAAATATTGTTGATGAATTTTTTGGATTCTCTGACATTTTATGGCACAATTTTGTTTTTAATTCCATTGTGTGCAACGAGTTTTAGGGAATCGGGCGCTATATTTGACTTGACAATCGAATAATGTGAGGGAAATTCTTTTGGATTAGCTTAAAGACTTAGCTCTATAGTTGGATACATATTCATTAGAACTTAATTAGAAAGCGGTACAAATTCTTGTACTATCACAAGTGTTGCTTGGTTTGTTCAGATAACTTGACTTGGCTTAGGACTTGCAGGACTTTCACAAGCTCGTCGTTGCCTGCAGCTTGAGATATCGTGTTCCGTTCTCTGCGTCCGCCAGACGCGCTATATGATCAGAGGCGGCATAGCAGGTCGTAGCTGTAGGAGTGACTGGCCGACTATTGTTGTTGTTATTGTGCATGCTGCCACTGTTGCTGCTGCTGACGCTGGCGACACTGCTGTTGACGTTCTGCCGAATGCGTGTGGCTCCCCAAATCAACACCACAACGGAAGTGACTAAGATTCCCAAGCCGAGTCCGGGCAGAAAACTCTTGTTGAGCGAATCAATAAAACCGTAGTTATGCAGCATAGATGCCGGATGTGACTGCGATTGTTGACTACCCACGATGCTGTTGAATTGGCGTTTATTCAGTTGGTAGTCCTCACCCAACATGTTGGTGCCCACAGGATCCCCATCGAGATCATGTGTGGGCGTATAGTAAGGCCGTCTCTGATACTGACGTACTTCCGGCACTGAGTCCGGACTGCTCAGCTGCAGTCTGGTTATGTTTGAGCAGCCAATGTTCAAGTCGGACTTTGGATTCTTCTCCTGTACCATGACCAGACAGAATCGATAACTTTGCGAAAAGGAATTATTTATTAGCGAAAATGTAGTATGGAAAGAAAACCTCTTTTTATTACCTTTCGCCTATAACCAGGGACGAGCTGTCGGGCACGATTACGCTCACTGTGTTTTGGCCATTAACCATCTTGCTTTCGCAGTGAATCTGTGGGTTAAACGACAAAAAGTAAGACTTGGATTTTAATAATGGATAAACTAATCATTACCGGTGAATTATCAATGAGTATTTCATTGATGTTCTCCTCCTTGTAGACGAATATGGCATCGCACATGTAATCCTTTTTGCTGAGATTCAGTATCCAGGTCAGTATAAGGCCATAATCCGCTGAATAGTGGAGCTCATGGAGTATTATCTACGAGAAATGTTAAGCAAAATAATCAGTCATGTTCGGTTGATACCATTACACAGACTTACCTCTTCGGATAGATCTTTGAAGTGCGACGTTTCGTTCGGCTTGGCCAGAGTCTCCAAGTGTTCCAATATATTAGCATTATCCTTCTCCACATTGTCCATATCGCAGCTTAGCGATTCCGTGGGCACCTGTAGTAGTGGAGCGCCCTCAAGGCGCGGTGGCGTCGCACAGGTTGCACCCATTAGGTCCTGCGAATTCAACTTGGATACTTGTAGCCATTTAGCAAAGGGTCGAATACTGCAATCGCAGGACAATGGATTCTCCTGCATTGACAGGTTCTTAAGCTCGTGTGCGCCATCCAAAGCATTATGAGCAACTATGGAGATGTCATTGCCGGCAAGCCGCAGCTCACGAAGGGATGGGAGCGGCACAATGAGATCGGAGGTGAGGGCGCGCAAGAAATTGTGCGTCAAGTCAAGGGTTGTAAGGCGTGTCAGGTGCTGCAGGGAGGCACTCGATATCGCCACAATACCATTGTAACTCAGATCCAGAATATCCAATGCGGCCAGACCGTAAAAGGCATGATCCTGGAGTACATCAATCTGATTGTGACGCAACGAAAGACTGGCCAGACGTGAGAAGTTTTGCAACGCTTTGTTTTGAATGCTTTTAATCATATTACGATTGAGGTTTAAAGACTCTAGGGTGCGCAGTCCAGGCAGTGTTTGGGCGCTAAGCGGGCCATTCAAATTATTGGCCGTCAAATCAAGTTGTCTGTGAACAAATAAAAACATATGGTCATTCTGCTAAACTGAACTTATCGGCCTTACTCACCTTAAACTAAGACACTGACTCAGAGCTTTCAAGCTTTGCGCATAGTCGCCCAGCCGATTGCCTCCCAACTTAAGGACCTCCAGCTTGCGCAAATTTGCGAACGTGCGCTGCGATATGCTTGAGATCTGATTGTTACTGAGCTCCAAATAAACCAAATTACTCAGACCCATAAAATCGGCTGGGCCCAATGCTTTTATCTTGTTATTCGACAAGTCCAAACGCTCCAACGACGTGAGCGTTGACAATGAGTTCCAAGGCACACTAAGCAGTGCATTTCCGGGCAGTCCCAAGGCTTGCAAAGGTCCCTTGATCCCCAGAAAGGCAGACTTGTGCACTCGTTTAATCTCCCCCGATGAGATGACCAAGCCATGTAGCGAAATTCCATCGAATATCTTGGCATCACTCAGAAAGGTGACGTTCCGCAACGAGCAGTCGAGCAGAGAAATGGAGTATGGAGATGTTCGCAGACTGTCAGCAAGCACCTATAAATGGCACAAGTGTTCAATATACCTATGTATGTTTGGGTATTGCCTACTTAAAGTACAGTACGTCCAACTAGCAACTACAAACATTGCAGGACTATATTATATATATATTCGACACTGCTTGTATTCACAACTATAAGTCTTTTAATACTTCCTATGCAGTTTCCGAATTATGTATATATCTGTAGAAGGGAATCAAGTTACATTCCCAGATGTATCTGTTTTTTAAAAAAATGGCAATCTAAATGCTGGCTCTTTTAAACTATCTTACTTTTAAAAATGCAACCACTTTAATCATCAAGAACTGTGAACCATATTGCACTTCTTATGTGCTCCAGGTAGCCCAAATGTTCGCTGCAACTACTGCTCTTAATTTCTTGAATTATGAAATCAGTTCAGAAACTATAACTCTGATTTCTGCTTTTTTATATGGTGATATAGTATATTACGAGCTTTGTTTTAAATGAAGAGCTTCTTACCTCCAGGCCATGTAGATCGCCGTTGCATCGAAGAGTGTGGGGCAAATCACATCCGCACTCCAGACTCCTTGCGCCTGTGATATTCGGACACTTCCACTCGAGAAGCTCGTCATCGATAGGCAATGGTAGCGAGGATACTTCTTCAGCTTTTCGTTTTTTGGGGGAACTCTTGTTATAGTACTTCATTGTGGCTTTAGACTTATTGCCACCGCTCCCTGGAGCCGGATTTGCATTACTAGTAGGCCTGTAAGCCGGCACTGCGGCAGCAGATACTACATAGGCGGCACTAAGAGTGCTGCGCATAGAAAGCGTGGGGGTGGGCGCAGAGGGTGTGGATGTGGCTGCAGTGGTGCTATCCACCAGAACATCCTTTAGTTCATTACACGTCGCCACCGAAAAGAGAAGAATCAGATGGGGGCATAGCAAGCCGCTGTAATGGAAAAATTTATGTATATTTAATGCATGGAATTTTTATTTTCTGACTTAGGCATACATAGATTGCAGTGTTGCATTTGCATTTTCAGTAAATAAATAAATAACTGAGACATCTTTTTAGGTCAAGCTACATTGACACTTTGACATACATACTAAGCGACAGTCGAGCTTGCATTTAAATATACATTTCCAGATACAGATGCATAGATACATACAAGTATGTACATATGTGAGTGCGCTTCTAGTCGTCCAGGGTGCTGAATTGTGCTACTGACATGTGCTAGACAATTTGCCAATTTAACGCTTAACCTAATCAAATGCGTGTGAGATTGATTTACTTATATGTATGTACATATATACGTTTGTGTCTTTACGAGAACTGCCTAACTGGCCGACGTGCGATCTTCACCGAGCTAGGCAGACAATCCAACACTAGCTGAGAGCAGTAATTTGACAAGCCTCGGCTTCAAGACTTCTATCATCTAAAAGTATTTTAGCATTACCAAGGCGGGCCGTATGTTACAAACTCATATCCTGAAGAGAATAATTATTCCTGCAATCTGAATACAAATTATTCCCAATAGTAGACACTTAAACAATTTTTAAAAATAACTTTTACTAATCGAGCAACATAATTGAATTGAACGCAAGAGCCTGAACATGACATTAATTCACTTGTAATTCCCAAACAGAGATTATCTAAAAACCTGATCAGAAAAATTTTTAAATCTTACTTACCCTAATTATTCGAATACTAATTATTAATGGTATTATCTCAACATTTTTTATTATTTTTCATTTGTTAACTGCTCCTTTATGCTCCTTTTTTAAAACGATATACCAAAACTTATATGAGCAAGTGTAGGCATTTTTATCCAATGATAAGGTAGGGGTAAAGCAATATAGACTGTAGCTAAGTCATTGCCATGCGTTTTGAATGCAGGGAGATGGCAGACGATGTCTACTTTCGCTTTCATTTCACCTAACTACCCAGCCAGACGCAAATTGATTTAAGTACTGCATTTCCTTTAAGCACATAGTGAGAGAAGCCCATAAATTTTGAAAATGAAAGTGTCTCATGACTTGTTTTATTTTTCCATAAAACTGAGACTTTATGGACCCCCCATACATGAAGAGGTCCAGTGTGGGGAGAGGCATTATTGTTTTTATATATGACGTTGCCCCACTATGTTAATTTAGTGATGAATGGGTGTAGGAATATTTGTGTGACGTGATCTTATTGCATTGTTTACTTATGTCTTGTCCGTGTCTATTGTGCGAGCAGAAAATAAAATTGCGTACGTTGTCAATTTTCCAAACGCGCCGAGGCTTTAAAAACCCAGAATTCGGGCAATACGCAGCCAGACACGTTGAAATTGTGCAGCATAGAACTTAGTTATTAGTTCGGCTGTTGCTGGAAGCGCTTCTGCTCGCCTCTTTTGCGCAACAGGATTAAAGTGGTCCCGCCAGTCAGCCTTAGATGTGCCCAGAGTGTGTAGTGTAGCAAATACTTTTGTTAGTGTACTAAGAAAGAGCATCAAACACTAAATAGTGGAAAAATGGCCGAGCAGTTGAGGAAAATAACAAAGTGCTGCGCCATTATTCTAGTGCTCAATACCTTACTCATGTCGCAGACTCAGGCCAAGTTGCTTACGCGCTGTCAACTGGCCAAGGAATTGTTGCGTCACGACTTTCCACGCAGCTATCTATCGAATTGTAAGTAAAATGTCACATATATGTAGATGTACATAAATGTATATATTTTTCCGATTTTGTGGCACAACCCACAGGGGTTTGTCTGGTGGAATCGGAGAGTGGACGCAGCACATCGAAATCCATGCAGCTGCCAAATCAAAGCGTCAGTTACGGCCTCTTTCAGGTGGGTTAGAATAATCATTCTCCTGACTTACTCAATGCACAGCCAATCAACAGATCAACAGCAAAAACTGGTGTCGCAAGGGCCGTCGCGGTGGCATATGCAACATCAAGTGTGAAGGTAGGTACCCCATTGAGCTCTCCATATACTTGTACATACGTGTATGTGGGCAGAGCTTCAAGTTTAGTTGCTTAACATGACATTGCAAATGCAGATTTTCTGAACGATGAAATCTCCGACGACTCGCGCTGTGCCATGCAGATCTTCAATCGTCATGGTTTCCAGGCTTGGCCCGGTTGGATGAGCAAATGTCGTGGGCGTACGCTCCCCGATGTCTCGCGTTGTTAGACCAAACAACATTCGAGGACATACGATGGGAGAACCTGTTTTTCGTATGATGGCTTGGCAGCAAATCCAAATAATATTTCGATATTAGTTGCCATGTTGAAAACAATAGAATGGGAAGAGATAAGACAACTTGTTGTTGTTCTGTTTTAGTTAAGCTGCTTTGATTTAGTTTTAGATGTAAAAACATACTGTATAACTCATAACAACATACATATTTTGTAAGACTCGTCCATTGGCTTTTATGTTCAAAATTAAAATTATCTACTAGCTACCTATTTTACATGAATGTATTTATTATTATTATTTTATTGTAAACAATTAATTTTCAATTAAAAGTTTCCTGGACATGGCTTACAATCTGACTTTAAAGTCAGCTCCCAGTTTTTCCATCAGACATTAATAAGATTAACAGTCTAATTAATTTGTATTGGCATTTATGAGCAACGGACTAAGTTTTATGCTATCCAAATACATAGCACTTCCGTTTAGAAAGTGAATTGCGCTTTAGTTTATTACTTAATATTTTTTGCACCGTGCAATCTCAAGTATAATCACAACTGTTGACTTTTGGCTCAAAATAATCATCTTATCACTAAATCAGCCATATCAACAACAGAGCAAAAACCGTTTGAAGAGCGTCACATTTTGTTTTTAAGCTCTTACCTTGTGTGTCTCTAGTTGCTTCTGTCTCTGCGGGTGCTCGCTCAAATCAGAACGGGAACATATACATATGAGTACACCTGAATGTATGTATATATGCAGCTGTGGGAGCAGCAGAGCAGTGAGAGTTTTTCCATGAATTGGCTGTAGAACAGCGTCTGGAGCGCACAATTGTTTCGCATACACAGATACTACTTGTATATAAGTATGTATATTTAAATATTTGAATTTTCAGTACTTGAGCTCAGGTCAACAGTGGCGTACATGAGGAGCCTCATCGTCGCTTTAGCTGCTGTCTATGGAGTGCGGGGCATGGGAATAAAGCGCGCTATCAAAACAAAACAAAACGCAGAAAAGCTTACATACAAATAAAAAATAAAAAAAAAACAAGTGAACAAGAAGATATAAACTAGTTTTGCTTTTGAAAGCAAAACATTGTTTGCGATAATTAACAAAAGTAATTATTGTTCTTTTTTGTTTTTGTAATCAAGTAAATGCGATGTTGTACTATACTCGTATGTGTCTGTGCAGCTGAAATTCTGAACCTAGCAAAAAGGTAGGCTCTTTTCGATATTTTTGAAATATTCTGTACAGCATGAAGTCGCTGCGAGCGTGTTTTGTTAAAAGTGATACGTGTACGTGCGCACACTCCTAATTGAAATAGAAGTTACTCGTATTGGGAGATCCGTTTGGGTTTTTTGTTTGCTCTTCCTATTGAATGGACTTATATGCATGGCTGAGACTAAACACTGCAAAGTTTGTGGAATGTATTAGAATAGCAATCACGAATCGCTGATTACGAAATTTTAATTTGAAAAACAGCTACAATTATGGGTAAATACTTATTAAAAGATATTAATTGTAAGGAACACTTCTCAAAGGCTTATGAAGTGACCAGCTATCATTGTAGCATTTATTAAAAATGGGCTTTATATGGTCGAGGCAATATTATGGGCAGTCATTTTACAATAATACATTAAATAGTTAAATAATAGCAATTCGAAAACTAGTTCAACAAAACGTCGCTATTAAAAATAACAAAATAAAACAGCCTTAAAAATTCGTATATCTTCAAAACAAATCTTCTGACAGTTGAGAGGAAATTCAATAGCCTCTCGAAATCAAGTCTGATTTAATTTAATCAAACAATTTCGAAAGATGCTGATAATGCTGCACTGGTAATCGGGCAGCTAGCGATTAAGCCGAACCTATCAGCTGGAAATTCCCGGAATCCATAAATTTAATCTATATGTACAGATGTATATTATATAGTATCGTTAATATGCGTTTATTTAAAAGCTTTTATTTTAGCGTGCATTTCAAATAGTGTTGGGAAGTCAATCATGCCGCTAAGACGCAAAAACTATTTTCTGGGATTTGTGCTCCTTCTACTGCTCCTTATAATACAACAAGGGGAGCCCAAGAAATTTCAGCGCTGTGAACTGACAAGAGAACTTGTGGAGAAGTATAACTTCGACAAAACATTTCTGTCAAACTGTAAGTATTCACAAATTTGAAAAGGTATTTTGAGCTAACTTCATTAAATATTTTAAATAGGGATTTGTCTGGTGGAGCACGAAAGTAATCTAAATACGAGTGCAATAACTTATAGAAGTAGAAGCACAAATTATGGACTTTTTCAAATAGGCAGTCGGGACTATTGCTCAGAGACCCGTAAAGGCGGATTATGTAATCAAAAATGTGAAGGTACCCTAGAATTTTCCGCATTTTCAAAAGCACTATTAATATTTCTAATCGCACAGCTTTCTCCAACGATGATATTGCCGATGATATTGCCTGTGCCCGAATGATACAGGAACGCGAGGGATTCAAGTACTGGAGTGGTTGGGACCGCTACTGTCGCGACCAGCGTAACTTACCCAACTTGCGAGTAGTTTGTAATCTCAGGAGCCTCTCTCCCATACGCTCGCCTAGAAACTTTAACAATTTCTTTGGCTGACAAAAGGCCAAGGGCAAAACTTACCTCTCGCAGAAGAACCGAATGAAATTGTTTTTTATTTTGTATGAGTATATATTGTGTCTAAACATTCGCCGTTCTTTTATATTTTTATACCCTGTACCCGTAGGGTAAAAAGGGTATATTAGGTTTGTGCAAAGTATGTAACATACAGAAGGAAGCATCTCCGACCCCATAAAGTATATATATTCTTGATCAGCTTGACGAGAGAAATCGATCTAGACATGTCCGTCCGTCTGTCCGTCTGTCCATCCGTCTGGATGAACGCAAGGATCTCGGAAACTATAAAAGCTAGAATAACCAAAGTTGGCATCCAGATTCTCCTAGGTCCGAGTAAGGACGAGTTTATTTTTTTTTTTTTAATTTTCCCCCCCTTCCCCCGCTACAGAATTTCGTCAATAGTGTCCACATTTCAAAAGCTACCTAAACCAAACTTTGCACACATAATTTTTATACAATTATCTACTGTTGTTTAAAATTTTATCAAATTCGGTCAATTCTAAGAAAAGTTATTTGCAAAACAAATTCTCACCAGTACAACCCCCCCCAAACTGCAGCAACAAGTTCGCTCTTCTTCTTCCTCTTTTTGCTGCTGCTATGGGCGCATATAACTCAGTGACGGAAGTTTACCTGGGTACAGGGTATTAGACTGTCGGGCTTGCTCGACTGTAGCGTTCTCTCTTGTTTTTTATCTGCACTTTTTATCCCATGTCTTGCGCCCCACAGACGCAACATGCGCCCACACCCGACCACCGCGACAGAGGTTGGGCGACTGGCAGCCATCACTAATAGCCAATCAAGTGGGCGTTTTGTCTGCAATAGGGCTGTGATTAACTGTGTCGTGTATATATGAGTTTTTTATTTCATTTCCTAAATTGAAATTTGGAAACAGGTCCTGTTCTTTTCAGATCTGTTCATTTTTTAACACACATATATGGATAAGTAGTCATATATTTAGACTGCTTAGTCAAATGGGCTTAGAGGACGAACTAGCTCAATACAAGTATATTTCGTCGTGGTAAGTCAGTGAAGTGAACTAAGCCGCACAGCTCTAGTTTACAGACTGCATTTCCTATACGCCCAAGCAGCTCGAGTTTTATTTGCAAGGGCGTTGAAAATGTGACTGGATTTATCTTTTGACTGAAATTAATATACTGGGCTATAGGAAAGATTGGGACCTCATTGGCAAGTTTGCTTGGCAAGTTTGCTTGACAAGTCCATGGGCGAGTCTCACTTCGCAAACTTCGCTAACGAGTTGGCGAACTGAACTGACCAGCGCCAGCTCCAGCTCATCACAACAGGCTGCATTTGGCTCTGGCGTTGACTCTGTGGTATGGGTAATGCAAAACCTCATACAGTTCCCGCACAATATCATTTGCATTTCCGTTCCAGCTAAAACAGCAGCATTTCCGTTTTTCTGTGTGCAACGAAAAGGTAAAACAAAACAATGAACACTTTCTGTGTGTTCTGCATGTGGAAACTGGCGCACCGCAAGGCACGGAAGCGTGCAGATAATAGCAATAACAATAAAAGCAACAACAACAAATGCAACTTAAACAACAAAACTCAAAAATCAGAGCGTAACTACCGATGTATAACTACAAATTACAATGCGCACTAAGCCCAGACAAAGGTAAACGTAGAACTTGGCCTGGTGTTGTGTTCCATTAGAATGCGTTTTTCATATGTACGTGGTCAAAATAAATCAGTGACTATACAACAACAACAACAACAATTACAGTTGTTACCTTCAATACAGGTGTTGCTGTCTATTGTCCACAACATCCTCAAAACAAAAAACAAAATATAAAGAAGCATGTAGGCCTGTAGGCAGCAACAATCGGCGCAACGTTGGCGTCCATCTTCATGTCCATGCCCCACAGTGGCGACCAACGACGACGCTACATGCTGCCACTCACAAAATTTAAATGCAACCCAAGCGCTTCTTTACCTTTTGTCACGCTATTTGGTTCCACACACAAGCAGACATCGAATAAAACTTAATGCTGGAAACGTTTGAGTGCGTTTAATTTCCGCTGCCGTTTTGTCTTACACTTCGTCCATGATCCCCCAACTTTTCCCAAAATAAAGTGACAATTATCGAAGCAAAAGAACAGTCTGGCCCAAAGATATTGTCTGGGATTAGTTTTGAAGAAAGGCTTGAGGGCAATACGATTCACCATTCAATATTTTTGTTCATATTTTCAAGATTTAGTTTAAATTATTATTATTATTATTTTTGGCTTCGTTATAATTCATTAACCAGTTTACGCATGTCTACATAACGTATTTATTGGTGTGTGCCGATAAATGGAAAACTTTGTTTTTATGATCCTAATATTAATTTATTACTGCGTTAAGTCATAGTGAATAAATCAATGAATGCACCCATCGCTACAAATCTTGTTTTCCTACATAAATCTCAACAAAAGCTCCCGTGAGCAATGTTTTTATTTGCTAAGCATAGTCATAAATAGAGTGCTTCTACTCTACAGTTTCGCATTAGCTTTTGGATTCCAAACGTCACCAACAACATATTGGATTCTGTAAAAAAAAATGGAATGTTTCAAACTAACAATCGGAAAACTTGCATATAAATTTACACTTTTTAGTACATCAATGTATGTTTCACTTTCACTTTTATTTAAACAGTCCCGTCACAGTTCCAAAAAATTGCATTTATGCGTTATGTTCGAGCATTTAGGGATTACAAAGTACTTATAAAGTTGCCCTTGAAGTCGAAAATTAAGCATTCGAGTGCATGTAATTGAAATGAATGCACGCCTCCACTAATGTATGTATGTATGTGCTCGTATGTAATTGGAATGAAGCCTATCCTGCTGACTCAGCAAGCAGAATGTGCTAATCAAGAGCAAAACTATTATCCCGCCAAGGCAAGAAGCCTACACATCATCTCCGAGGCTTAAAGCTGTTTAGCAAAGCGCTTAGCGCACACTCGCTAATCGACCCACAACATAATTCAGGCAAGAGAGCGCCCAAGACAAAGGCTGCGCCGCCGCACCGTAGACAAAGATGATAATGATGACGATAATGATGGTGATGATGATGACGACGACGACGCCAGTTCAGCATTCTTTCGTGGAGTGTCAACGAGCAACGCGCGTCTCCCACACACGAAATGCAAAAAAATGTCGCTGTGTAGGCGCAGCCAAAGCGCCATCAAGGCGGTCAGAGGAGGGGGACTTCGTGAGCGAGAGGGAGAGAGAGAGAGAGAGGGGGAACTGTGGCCAAAACGCAACTGGCTAAAATTAAGGCACGTCAGCGGAAATAAAGTTTGCGTTGTTGGTGGAGTCTGCTGTTAACGGCATTGCAGCATTTTATTGTTGTTGTTGTTGCTGATGATGCTGAGCGCAGATATAGATATACAAGTACATGATAATGATGCCGACGTTGAATGGCAACTGGGAGTGTGGTCTGAAACGATAAATAGCATCTAGTCCATGCCGTCAGAGTTCATGAATTCCGATTGCTAGAAAAGCGAAGTCTTTTTCGCATAATAATGACAAAGTCGGCCCAGTTGAGTCTACATAAATATTACTTTTTACGCGATTTGTAAGTATATGGTCTGTTGAGCTTAAATACGCGTTCATGAGTTTCTAGTTCCGCATAAACTCACTTTATGGCCACACACCACTGGAGGCTGAAAGACGGCCGCTTCTTTCATGTTGTCTTAAACTTATCATTAGTTTAAATTTATTTTTGGAAATTTGCCGAGCTTGGGATGCTTAATGATCATCAGGCAGCATATTGGCCACAACTTCAAGGCTAGAACTGCCACCTGATCTTAATCGGGAGCGGTAAGAGATTCACATTAAAAAGTTAAGAACTTGTCATTCTTTTATTTTAAGACTTAAACAATATATCGAAACAAAACTGGTAGCTATGTATGCAAATCGTAAGCCAGATAAATGAGAAATTTATTCATTTATTATAAAACGTACTGTTCTGCTTGTGTTTATTAAATGTTGTTGCATTGTTTTGGCATATATGTTCAACGTTAATATATATTTTATCCCCCTCTTTGAGCAGTTTAATTAAGGCATGATATCGCTTGCGAAAATGCAAAATCATTTTTTAGAATTACCTCATAGCGCTTGACTGCAGTTTATTATAAAAAGTCAAATATACAATACGTATACTGCATGTACGCCAAGCTCAGATCTTACTATATTTTCCCATAATTAAATGCTAAGTTAACCAACCACATACACATGTGCGCACACACACACACACACACACACCCCAAATATTTTTTGTTGAAATTTTTGCTGTCCCAAAATGGCCACAAACATGCAAGATAAGCCATTGAACAATTAAAAACGCGTTTTTGTTCGCTTGCCTTCTTTGGCAAATAAAATAGAAATCTTAAATTAACAAGCCAGCAAGATTGCAAAACATTCGAGTAGTCGAATAATTCTCCCAAACTAACTCCAAGATACTTGTAGTTTTTAATTTTTTGCAAGATTGCAGGCTAATTTTAGCAACAACTTCCACGCTTATTGTTCCGTTTTTGTTTGACAAATGCAACTGAAAACACTGTTTGCTGCCCATTCGGACAAGTTTGAACAGAGTGTTGCCAAAAAGCCCGTAATGACAGCAATACTTTGTTGCCGCCTCACATAAACTGCAAAGGCCAAAGGGTGAGTTGGTCATTTTTTGTTGTTATTTTCGCTTTTTGCTTTTGGAAAAATGCAATAACAAATTTTTTGCGCGCCTGCTGCGTCTGTCGTTGGCCAAGAGCTGAGCTGAGAGCTCAGTGGCGAAATCTGTTGCGCGAATGTGAAATATATTCGAAAGCGCAGCGAAATCGCCATTACTGCATGAGCCCACACATGTGTGTGTGTGTGCGTGTGTATGCGGCTCAGCGTGGCAAATGAAATTTGTGCCTAGCATGAAAATAGACGAAGTCGCTGCCAAAGGTCAAAATGTCATGCAAACGTGCCACTTGCTGTTTGTTGTGATTCGCATGAATCGAGCACACTGGCAGAAAATTATAGCTCCACATTTTAGTACAAGCTTTCACTATCTTATGTCTTAAAGCAGAAATCACT